AAAAAAAAAGAAAAAAAGTTTTAACTGCTGCAAAATTAGGAACTACTTTTGATGGCAGGAGGTTTTTAAAGGATTGCTTACAGGTCAACTAAACGTCTATAACTACTGATAAATTCTTATCAGAGGAACTTATTTTAAGAACTTAATTAAGATTTCAGCTGATTATACAAAGCCTTGGAGACCTCTTAGCTTTGCACAAAGTGTTTATTATAGCTACTGATATAAATCGATTTTCTTGAGGTTATTTCACCTAAGTAAATCCTTCTAGGATAGGTGTCGAGCTTGTCAGAAGTTTCTGATTCAGTCTTGGAGGATCATTCTTCTCTTTTTCCCCAAAGCAGCGAAACACAGGTCTAAATTGCATCTTTTTTTTTTACATGTGCTGTGCCAATGGACATTTGTTTCTTCCAGCATCATGCTGAAGTTGAAAAATATCTTTTTAACTTAAACTTTTTATCATACTTAAGATTTTTTATTTTGAGGATTTTGAGCAAAGCTATTTTTGGAGAAATGTATATTCACCCCAAAATTAAGAAAGGGAAAAAGTTTGCTGCTAAACAAGCTGCTCTTCTCAGTAATCAGATTTTCCCCATCAAAAGTGAAGAATGACCATTGAACAAAGCAACTCTTACATTAGGACTCCAGCAGAAATGGAGATAACTTGACCACTGTCACAACACAGAAGCTGGCCAGTCTCCACAGCTCATCAAATCTCAGTTCTTTAAGTGCCTCTGACATCCCCATTTTCCATGGGCAACTTATTTACCACCCTATCTTACACACAGGGAAGGGACACACTGCAGATTCATTATAAAAACACTTATCAAGCCTGTATMGTATTCTCTAGGGGATAATCTGATGGTAATGGGAGTAAATTCAGCTTAAAATGATTGTGCCCTCTCTCCCTCAGCTTGGATTTGTGCTCTAGAGTCAGAAGACCTTGGTTCTAACCCATGGTCTCTCTAGGGGTCATTGCATAAGTGTTTTATGCTTTTGAAGATAAAGATAAGTAAAAGATTAGGTCCAGTGGTTTGCTCTGGCCTTAGTAAATAACAATAATAAAAAYCTATGAATCATTCTCCTCTTCTTGAGTCAAAGCTTCCCAGAATCTTTCCAAATTTCCCTCCCTAGCCTTGCTCTAATAGAAACCCCTGACAAAGTAAAATGAGAAAACTCTGTTCCTGTTTGCAAGAAGTTTTCCRTCCCACACAGCAAGTGTTTTTCCACCCTTGGAAAAACACTGCTTTACGTCCCTAAATAGGGCACCACATTAAATAGATATCCTTCCATCCGAATAGWCACAGAGGCACGAATTCCTCTTGTTTCTGGGAGCGAGGGAAGCCTCCTGGTGTGATAATAGCAGCGGAYACAGCAGGTAGGACATGTTGTCAGCTCACAACTAATGATTACCCCAGGTATTTGGTGACAGGGAYGCTATGGCTGTGCAGACTCCAAGGTAATTGTGCAGACTGACTCCCCTCTTCAGTGTGTTCCACACAAGCACGCAGTCAATCTCCTGGGAAACCTTTATCTCTGCTGGGTTTGATAGCATCTGAAATTTTTAATGGACTATGTGACCCAGCTATAAACGCAAGCAGATAAATCAGGTGAAAATCAGAAAAAAAAAAAAAAACAGAAACTGGTTAATTTGACCATTTCTCTGGCAGAAGATTATGCAGAGATAAACAAACAAACAAAACATTAATAAGATTGAAGCTATCGGGGAAGAATATCCCCAAAGGATGGGTGAGAGATTGGAGTCAGAGGCAAATACACAGTAGAGACTACTCAGAAACTCTCCATTGCTTTCCAGCTCCTGAAATAATAGTATACTCTGACTGGGAGAGCGAGCACTAAGACAGTCTGGTTATTCCCTTTCCGAGACAGAAACAAGCTCTCATCCTTGCTCAACACTTAATGACACCCACAGGAGGAATGACCGGTCAGTCACCCAGGGAGGCGAACGCCAGCCCAGCTGGTTTGCACATGGCGAGTCTTTCCTCATCGTGGTTCTCATTCTTTTCCACCCAGAAAGGTTCTCCATAGCACCAGGGCTCACTGCAGAGCTYTTCCAGGCGCTGCTATGGATTTTTAAGGCACCTACCGCAAAGCCCACCTGTAGGGATTCATGTGGGAAGTGGAGGGAGGAAGTATSTGCCTGTTAGGCAGCAAGATGGCCATCAAGTAGAAGCCAGTGTCAGTTCAGTTGTGGCATCCTGGTGCCGGCTGAATGAACCCTGCTGTCCAGTTCACCAAAGCTGTGGGAGACAGGTAAGGAGTTTCAAGCAGTAGTGCTACTGTGGTGAGGAGAAGCAGGTGAACTCGTGCTCACACCTT